ATCTGACAAATATTGCTGAAATGAAAGAAGAGGTGGTCAGATATTGGGACAGCATGGACCACGACTTTCTAACTTCTTTGATCAGAAGTATGCCGCATTGAAGCCTGCATTGCTGCCCATTGTGACTTGGCCAAATACTAACTGTTCACCTGTCTTTGAAGCTGGAGTTATGTTCTGCTAATATTCACATTTAATACATGAGTAATGAGTGAAAAATATAAAAAAAATTTACAATCTTAAATTCTCAATAATTTCTGGTTGTACTGTACATATGAAAGATTTGTGGTTAGTCTTATGCGGAACACCAAATTCAATCTTAAAAAACTTGTGGTTAATTAATACCGAGTGATTTAAAGTTGCCAAAAAGTTGCCTGCTTCACTCTCGCCCGCTAACGAAACCACAGACAGGTTACGTAACTCTGTCGCCAGAGTACTGCAGTGACGTCATATGAGGAAGAATTTTCAGTTAGTTGTATATAAAGTGTGTAGCAAGCTTGTCATTTTGATGATTTCTCGACATCAACGAAGACATGCCGAATCGTTGTGTTGTCGTCAATTGCTCCTAGGGGTCGGGTGATGGTGTTGCCATGCACAGATTTCCTCAGGAACCCACAGTTCGTGCTAAATGGGATATGTTTGTGAGTGCGAAGCGAGCGTTGTGGAAGCCTTGAACGATATCTTACTTGTGTTCAGATCGCTTCATGGAAGTTAAAGAATCAAAACTACTTACTACTTGTAGTAAAATATGTATATGATTGATGACCAAAAAGATTTTCCATGACACAACTTGTAACATAACGATTTCTTTTTCAGAAGCGAGGTTGTGGTCAAAGGAACAATGATATTGACAGTAGTATTATATTGACACCCACCTCGCTTCCACGAGAGAAATTGTTATGTGATAAGCTATGTCATGCAAAATCCTATTGGCCACCAATCAGATACATATTTTACTACCACTAGAAAGTAGTTTTGATTTTGTAACTCGGTGAAAACAAACCTAAATAGCATTTATCCTCCGACTGGCGGATGTTCGCGACAGGACGCCACCCGTGAAGTCACGGGCTAAAGTCTGTTAGAATTAATGAGACTATTGTTTGTTTTCATCAAGTTAGAAAATCAAAACTACTTTCTACCAGTGTTCACGAATGGTGTTTCAAAGTCACAGGACATTGGGTCCTGTAAGTTTCAGATGTCAGTCTGACCCATCGAAAATGCACAGGACCAATGGAATAAAATTAAACACACATTTCAGATTTAATATTTCTTATAATTGACATTGAAATTATTAACAAACGTAACATTTATGAACAGCAAACAAGTGTCACATGTCACATAAGACAACTTCAGTCAAAGTCATTGTGAAATATACAGTCAGACACTGGGGCCGGCGGGTTGTAGACTTCTGTCTGACCTTTACTTTGGTGTATCTGCCGGAGATTTGTCAGAGGGTCAGACGCTATTCGTGAACACTGCTTTCTACTCGTAGTGAAATATGTATTTGAATCATGACCAAAAGGATTTTGCATGACACAACTTGTAACATAATGATGTCTACCACGGAAGCGAGGTGGAGGGTCGAAGTGACAATACTGCGCGATACATTTCTTGCTACATTCACGTGGTTAACGTCCACTCACCAGTATGTAGATACTAGTCAATGTACGTCTTTATATTTGGTCTTATAATCCTAATTAGTTTATTATCATACTTGTATGCATTTTGAAACTTAATAAAAAGCAGGCGATCTGCTGATACTTATAGTGAATTTATAACAGGACTGTAATATCTAGACATTTTATAGTTTGCCAATGTGAATCGTAATTCGCACACACACGCCCTAGTGTATGTTGTCTGTCTCATTACACTTCACGGCGAGAACAGTGATTCTGTTGAATGCTTGATTTTAGACTAAGTGCAAATCGTTTCCATGGAAATCATGAAAAAAATAAATGACAAAAATCTGCAAATAGCAAAAGGCACCACTTTGGGATCTGCCTCACATATCTGCCAAGTTTTGCTGAAAGATATTAAGAAGTTTTCGCGTTGTGCTCCGGAAACAAAACCCATCCCTTCCTTTTTGAGACTAAGTTCGAATCATTTCCATGGAAACCGAGAAAATAATAAATCACAAATATCTGCAAATAGCAAAAGGCATCACTTCAATATCTGCCTCACATATCTGCCAAGTTTTGCTGAAAGATATAGAGAGGTTTTTGAGTTGTGCTCCGGAAACGAAGCCCACCCCTCACTTTTGGGACTAAGTCCGAATCGTTTCCATGGAAACCGGGAAAAATAAAAATGCCAAAAATCTGCAAGTAGCAAAAGGCACCACTTAAGGTTCTGTTTGATATATCTACCAAGTCTTGTTGAAAAATATTGAACGGTTCTTGAGTTATGCTCTGGAAACCAAGCCCACCCCTCACTTTTGAGACTAAGTCCGAATCGTTTCCATGGAAACCGGGAAAAATAAAAATGCCAAAAATCTGCAAATAGCAAAAGGCACCACTTAAGGTTCTGTTTGATATATCTACCAAGTCTTGTTGAAAAATATTGAACGGTTCTTGAGTTATGCTCTGGAAACGGCCCACCCCTCACTTTTGGGACTAAGTCCGAATCGTTTCCATGGAAACCGGGAAAAATAAAAATGCCAAAAATCTGCAAATAGCAAAAGGCACAACTTTAGGATCTGTTTGATATATCTACCAAGTTTTGTTGAAAAATATTGAATGGTTCTTGAGTTATGCTCCGAAACGAAAAGCAATCCTTACTTTTTGAGACTAAGTTCAAAATGTTTCCATGGAAACCGGAAAATAAAATGCCAAAAATCGGCAAATAGCAAAAGGCACAACTTTAGGATCTGTTTCATACATCTACCAAGTTTTGTTGAAAAATATTGAACGGTTCTTGAGTTATGCTCGAAAACGAAGCCCACCCCTCACTTTTGGGACTAAGTCCGAATCGTTTCCATGGAAACCGGAAAAATAAAAAATGCCAAAATCTGTGAAATGCAAAAGGCACCACTTTAGGATCTGTTTGATATATCTACCAAGTTTTGTTGAAAAATATTGAACGGTTCTTGAGTTATGCTCCGGAAACTAAGCCCACCCTTCTTTAAGACTAAGTCCAAAACGTTTCCATGGAAACCGAGAAAAATAAAAATGACAATTATCTGTAAATAGCAAAAGGCACCACCTTAGGTTATTTTTTACATATCTACCAATTTTGGTTAAAAAATATCGAACGGTCTTTGAGTTATGGTCCGGAAACAAAATGATTACGGACGGACGGACGGACAGACGGACGAGGCGACGACTATATCCCACCGCATTATATGCCGGTGGGATAAAAACAAAATGCAAATATTAACATTAAAACAGATTCAAGTTATAGGAACAATGTCAGGCTATATCCATCAATATCCACAAAAACGAGTGATATGCCATTCATCTGCAGCTGTTCCGAGAGATGTGTCTTTTAACAGTCTACTACTATACGGAAAAGTGATATATCGTTTCAGGTATTTCACATTAGTGTATAGTCTCATTGGTCACCCAAGACTAATTGCATAATGCCCACCATTCTTTAAAAAAAAAGTAATTTAGTTAGCCAATAATGAGCAATCAATCAACGTATTTGCGGTAAATCCTTTGAAAGAAGGACGTTGTTTTTACACAGACACAGACACGACAGAGTGTATTCAGTATAGATAAATAAATCTACACACATAAACACTACCTTCTGACAAATCTGCTGTGCAAGATAAAAGTAATTAATCGATCAGTGTGTTATCGGTTAATCCTTTGATCGATGTTTATAATGTTGAGTATTTACTCCAGACACAAGATATGCCAAATGGGATGATGACAAATAACATGTGTAGGTTTATACCACCTAACACGGGTTACAACAAGGGAATATTAATTGCTGTATTGCATGTGAAAACTTATGGGCTGACACTGTTTTGAGAATACGAACAGAACTTCATTGTTGCATAAGAAATACATATAAGATTTGCTGTGTGCTAAAACTGTATTTACCTATTTACCTAAGTAAATTTTCAGATTCTTCTATCAATGGCAAAGTAGGGTTGTTTAGTTTACGGATTCAAATAAATCAAATGTCAATTTTTAATATCATACATAATAGACGTAATATTTTTACATGACATGATTAAATATCGAGGTAAAAAAACCCACAGAAATGGGATCAGTTTGGATCAGTCATACCATCCAGGCATTAGAAAACTTGAAAAAGCCCACACTGCTTTGATACTCTATTACAATCAGACAAGAACTACCGGGGATATTTTCAAATAACTGCATCTGGTCTTAATGTGACATTGTCGCACTGTTTAGGTTGAAGAAATTCACCGTAACCATGATGAATGAGGCTGATCATTGTTTTCACTATCACTAGTGTCTGGCTCGAACAAATAAAGCCTACTGACACCAAGCGACATTGACAGAATGGTCTATGAAAACAGGTTATAACTCGGAAACTAGACAAAATTAAATGACAGTAGATTGTGAGAACATATAGCTTTCATTTTTCACAACAGTTGTCATGATTTCAGGTTTATACAAACCTGTAAACAAGATAATTTACCCCCTGAAATGTACATGAATTCTGCATCGGCCCTCATATCTATTCCTCATATGACATCACAGAGACGCCCCGCTCTGATTGGTTGAAATTTCGTTCGCGGGTGAGAATTGTGCACTGTTGTCAAAAAGGTCGATTAAAGTTAATTAAAGATCGAAATGAGTAGTTTTAATGACGGGGTTTCATTTATAACGATGCAATTTAGTGATTCAAGTATTTGTACCCCCCTAGAGTATATGTGATCTTTTAATATTGTGTCATCGTGGGTGTGAACTTATCAATTTGAAATAAAATCGGCAGAAATCCACGGATTAGCGGAAAATTGATATCCCTGTCTGTGGAAATGAGCCCTGGTTAAGATATAGACACTAGACATTGGTTGAACGTATTCTTACTCTGTGAGGAGCCAGCATCCGAGAAGTTCTCCATCCAGCTCGGGTTTGATTGCTTGCCGACAATGCTCCTGGATCGCAGAGTCAAAATAGTTGCCCTGAACACAAAAAATACATATATATTAGGGCTGCAACGAATACACTATGTGGCGAATATGATATGTATCATGAATATTGGGTAACGAATACGAATAATTATTCACGAATACAATATTGTAGTTTAGTGATTGATGTACAATATGAACGCCCATGTTGACAGTTTTGATTTGTCACAGCAATAACCAGTGATCTCATGACACTCAAATTTGGTATGTAATAGTTATAGTCGACAGTACCATGTGAAGTCTTGGCAAACTAACATGACTTGCACTACTGCAATGCTAGTACATGTTCCATTCTTGCATATCTCACTTTGGAAAGGACATAAGAATTCAAGTAAAACATGCTCCCTTAAAAAAATCGTAAATATTCGTTAATATTCGGTTCTGGTGACCACGAATAATGAATTGAATTCATGAAGGGCTACGGTTCGATCCACCAAATATGCGAGTGAATCGTTACAGCCTTAATATATATGTAGCCAGTTTTATAATAATTGATGGCGAAGACAAAAGCCTTTCAGATTAATCATGTTAATTTAAACTCTTCAGCATAATTAATATGTCTGTCGTTTTTTCTTTACATTTTCCGAATATTCCAAGGCTGTAAACAAATGCCATATGCCATATGCTCTGAGCAGTCAATAGGTCTGACTTCTTTCAATATGGTGGACACTGTGGCTTCATGACCAAGAGACCAGAGAGTGTCCTAAAGTATGATCATACTCAGAGTAGTGAACACTGTCTTCATCTGAGTTGGCCATCCCCGCGATGTTTACATTTTCAAAGCTATTTGTATTGTTTGTCCAACATCCAAATGCAGAGCAAATGTACTTGTCAAGCCCATGCCATAATGTAAAAGTACAAAATTGATCGAATGGACGAGAACACACGTCATCGTCAGCAGTAGGAATGTTGTATCATAACTTAAGATATTAGTGCCATTTGGCGCAACCAAATACATTGCAACAGGCTCCAGGTACCAAATATTGAATTCATGAGTATGGTAGAATTACCGGTATTGGAGTCCCTACATTTAATAATTTGTAGGGTGATACCATAAATTATTTTGGAACCAAAACATGCAATAAGCTGAGAATTTATATGTTTAAAAAACAGGTGCTTGCTATAAATATGCTGTGTGCTGCTGTAGGCTATAGACTGGGGACAAATACTGAAAACTCTCAGTGCTGCCAGGCTTATTAATATTTTATGACATTATCATGCTGTGTACAGATGATAGATCACAGAGAGCAGCTACTAAATACAAACTAGATGACCCATGGAACCCTGTAGCTGGGTGACATGTCATTGTTGTGCAGGTATATATTGCAACAAATTTTCACAAATCAGTCATATGGTAAAATGTAGACATAGCAGAGTTGATATATAGACATGCTTCAGGTATACAGGGCTAATATAGCCTATGTTTGCCAAAATTCAATTTAGACCAAGGGTTTGAGGGCAAAGGATGGAATAAGAAACCTAACCTCGCCCTATAACATCTTGGATGAGAAGCTCATGTTTTCCTGAAACATATCCAGGATTTATAATAATCACAGTGTGGTGATATGCCTATGCGTAATTTCCTTTTATAGGCCGAATAACTATCCTAAATGTCAACATTGGTCGTCTGCAATTCCACTTGTTTACTTGGCATCTATAAACCTACATACATTTGTGCCTCTCTTCTTTATCAATGATAGTTAATAAACCGTGCAACCACACAATACACATTCACACCTTATAACTGAAGAATGTCTTGGCCGACACATCAGACTTGACAACACCTGGCTTCAGCGATGTGCGACTGGATGTTGATCTGATCGACTGGCGACCGATTGTGCTTCCGGGACGATTGCGCGACAGTGCAGGTCCAGCGAAGTCGACATCAGCGTCGGGATCACTCGCTTTGGGTGCAGGGTCTTCTCCATTTAGTTCTAGCGTTGCCCCGACAAACTGTCCTTCTTGGGCAACCTTCTCGTCATCAAGTTGGACAGGGACGGCGTCCTGCGTTGCTGGCTTGGTATTTTCCGCCATTTTGAATGCGAATGACCTCGTGACGTCAGGGTCAATACTTCGTGACATTCCGACGATTTACTCCCAACGCGTACATCGTCACCTTCCGCATGCATTCTAGTCGTCTCCGGAATATTCCGAACAGATGCGAGATACTGTTCGGGAACTTCCGGAAATGATCAACCGTCATGTGCTTCTCCGTCGCAGCTAGAAAAAAGGGTTTCGAAATGACACTTATAAAGGGGAGTCATAGATTACGAAATTGGTTATCTTTAGAGAATCAGGCCACACCTGGTATCTACATTTTTGTCATTGTGGGTAATCTTGGAGCAAAAACAATGTACGTGCTCACAGCTATTAGTGCAAGTAGGCCTACCACCTTTCAGGAAAGGTTAATTTTCAAAAGCAAGTTGTGATATTTTATTGACAGGTACTCCATTATAACATATGTTATATTTGGGATTTAGTTACTGTCTTAGTAAAGTAGAGATTCTAGGACATTTTTGGGACTGAGTCCCACCCGGGATTCGAACCCACACCCTTAGAGTCAGGCACCTAATCAGCACACAAAGTCAGCCGCCTAACTCGCTCAGCCACCGCTACTTCCACAAAACTGTAGGTCTGACAACTGGTAGTTGTGTAATCACAGGTTTCGTGGGAGCCATGCCAATTTACACTCATCAGAGGGGTACACAAAGTCCGCAGTCTAGACTACCAGTTGTCAACTAGCTGTTGACCACTTTCTAAATGGCATTGTGCAATCACAGGTAGGCCTACCCATTTCCGTCAATCCACAAAATTACACGCGATTCAAGATAATATTGGATTTTACATCAATTCAAAAGGAGAGTGCATTGAAAGGTGTACATTCCCAACCAGTGCTTCCTGGTTGCTCAATATTCTAAAACCTGTCGTCAGTCCACACAACCGTCTCTAGCTATGCAGACGAGTATTTCAGCGTTTTACGAGCTGTTTTCCCCAGCTGAGGTGACTGACGAGATGTCCTGCTCCCGCTGTGAGATGTGGCTAGAAATACATCGCCATTTGTGTTTTATGAAATAACTGCATGACTTCAAACATTTCCAAGTTGAGGCGCTCTGGGCACGTCCTTGTATATACTACTCACACTTTGCTGAGGATCACAAAAATTCACAACTTTACTAAACGTACATTTATAATTTGAAATTGTATCCATTTAAAACTGGATGAATAATACAATGTGGTAACTCCTCTTTAGGCAAACAGCCACTTTAATCTAACCTTATGTACTTGGTACATGAGTAACCATAAAAATGGTTTCCGTGGCACCAATCAACCATTTTGCAAATCATGGAACGAGTCATTGACAAATAAACAACACATGTCAAAAGCAGGTATGGGTTCCACAAGATGCAATCACAAACTGAAACCTAGGATCCATGCTTACAATAAGCTTAAAGGTCACATGCAACCAAAAAATCAAACATAATTAAAACACAATTATCACTTATTCATGACATATAATATACATTGCTGGTTATGAAAAAACATATAAACAAAATTATAAGCGTACAATCGCAAATCAAAAGTGCAATATTGTGTACTTGGGTTTACTTCCCAAGAAACGAAGCAGCCGGGATACCGAACCCAGTCAGAGCGGGAGGGTGTGCACTCAAGTGTAACGGCTGGTTCATTTGCAGATGCCCCCACGGCTCATTGTGTGTGTATATGTAGAGATGTTGGGTTTTGTAAATACATGCTAATTTTTTGTGTATAACATTTTGCAATCAACAGACATCATAACATGTCAGGTGTTCAAGTATCACACCTGCCTGTCTGTGTAATTACATAATGTGACAGAGACCGAACTCGGGCCATAAATCAATGCGTTTTGTTTATGGTGTATAGCCTGATTGGTGTTAAGTTCAAATTGCATGTGGTCAGTGATAGCAGCTGTGTATTGAATATTGTCATTAGCAGACAGGCAGGCAGACACATAGGTATCAATAAAACAAGACATTGAGTTTTGTCTGTGACAACGACATATCTATATCACAGTTAGAAATTCTGTCAAAGCTAAATAATGACATAGCTTTTAAGTATCGAACTGAGAAAGTGACTCGGTAAGAAGAACGTGTGGTGAAATAGACAAATGAAATTATATAAATAGTTAATTTACTGTCATAACATATAAAAAGCTCGCGCCTGTGAGATATCAACAAAACATTAGAAAAATAGCTCACACCAAAGCCTTCACCGAGTATTCACTGGACAACCCGCTTCCAAGTTGCGCGAACCTATTTCACTGCGCACGTGCTATGAGTGCAACCCAGCTGTTGAAACCAGTTTTCCCTCCGAAAAGTCGGGGGAAAATTAGTGAAACGTTTGAACTCCAATTTCGCGCGGTTTTTTTCATCGCGTTATTTTTCAACTTTATAAGTTGAATTTGCATTTTTGACGATTTATTTCGGTAAGTCCATACCGAAAGGTATCAGAATCTGCAAAGTTGTGTTTTACGTTGCATGTGACCTCTAATTAGGTATTTAAACCAAATTTGACCCACATAATAGTAATCTGTTGAATCCATGATTTGATCCTTAGCAAAGTGTGAATGGTATAGTTTATACAATATAACCACGGTGACAGATACAGAATAGACCCCCACCCCCTAGCAACCCATCATTGATGTTAGAGGTGCATATATTATACCTTAATATGTTGTTTTCTGCCGCATGCCAATAGTTCCAGCTGTATGTCTACGGGGGCGGTGGGGTAGCCTAGTGGTTAAAGCGTTGGCCCGTCACGCCGAAGACCCGGGTTCGATTCCCCACATGGGCACAATGTGTTAAGCCCATTTCTGGTGTCCCCCGCCGTGATATTGCTGGAATATTGCTAAAAGCGGCGTAAAACTAAACTCAGTCAGTCAGTCAGTCAGTCAGTCAGTATGTCTACGGTCTATATGTGAACGAGTTTACACAGTACTCTAACGTGTGGTTGACATCGTGAGCATCGATCCATGCAATTGGGATACAATGACAATCAACCCAATCTCCAACCCTGATCGCCTGATCAAACGCCGCTTCCGAAAGTTTGTGGACATGGGACCTATATATACTTACCCTGAATCTCTGAAGAACTGGATGAATTTGGTTTCAGCTGTTAGTAATTGTGCAGCATTATCACGGGGGTGTGGGATGGGGTCACACATTGCGAAACGTGGGAATCGAACCAGCTAAGGCTTTATCCACTGGGCTATTCCCGTTTGTCCTGTTAAAACGTTGTGCATTTCTATTGTGAAAAGATCTGTTAAGATCCGGGTTAGAATTGATCTTCAGCAGCACAAGCTTGTCGTAAGAGGCGTCTAATGAGATCAGGTGGTCAGACTCGCTGACTTGGTTGACACTTGTCATCGAAGCCGAGTTGCATAGTTCGATGCTCATGCTGTTGATCACTGATTGTCTGGTTCACTAGTCTAGGCTCGATTAGTTGCAGACCGCCATTTACCTGGAATTATTGACGAGTGCAACAAAAACAAATCTATCGTGTGTACATGTATAACTTACCGCCTTCAGGAGTGTTTTCATCACAGATGCGTTGACTGGAGAAATATTTGATACGCATTTCCATGTGCGTTCCGTCTCAGCCCAAACACAGACAACTTTTACTTTACAAAGAACACAAAATAACTTTCAGACTCTATGCAATGGGTTTTAACTAAACATTAGTAATAATTAGCTCAAGCAGTAGATACACACAACTGTATAACGAGCTTCTGTAAATTCACTGAGAAATATTAAATTTCTACAGCTTGTAATGCCCTATAATAACAGGCCAGTAAAACCCTTTAGGCTATCCGCCACATTCAGCTTGTACATACCTAAATGCAATTTAGTTGTTATGGCTCTCAAAAATATGTATACAGAATTGAACATCAGCCCGGGAATTTAACATCATCCACTACGCTGATGTAGGTTCAGTGTAATATTATTGTATATCATTCATGTACGTGATAATGGTCATATATATGGCATTGAAAACATTAAGCTGAACTGAATTCAACTGAATTCAATAAATGTGTAGCACATTTCCTGCATATTCTCTTACATTGGTATTTGAACGAGTGAGTGAGTTTAGTTTTACGCCGCTTTTAGCAACATTCCAGCAACATCACCGCGGGGGACACCAGAAATGGGCTTCACACATTGTACACATGTGGGGAATCAAACCCGGGTTTTCAGCGTGACGAACGAACGCTACCATAAGGCTACCCACGCCATTTGACGGATTGACTTACTGGTGAATAAATTTAGTTCAATGGCGCCCCTTTACCGTGCCAGGATTTGCTGAGCTGATGAGATTTCGATTCGTATGCGGGTAAGGTTCATGTAATATGTTACATCCAACGCATATAGTTAGATACAGTACCCGTGAAGGTCCGGGTTAGAATATTGATCTTTAGTAACCCATGCTTGTCGTAAGAGGCAACTAACGGGATCGGGTGGTCAGGCTCGCTGACTTGGTTGACACATGCCAACGGTTCCCAATTGCGCAGATCGATGCTTATGCTGTTGATCACTGGATTGTCTAATCCAGACTCGATTATTTACAGACCGCCGCCATATAGCTGGAATATTGCTGAGTGTGGCTTAAAACTGAACTCACTCACTAGTTCGATACAGCCTCCAAACGTGCAACATTATAAATCTTTTGAAGCACCTGTAAAATATAATTCTCAAACCAGGTAAACATTCCCACATTAAAAAAAATTAACAGGTGATAGGTTGAAAGTGTGTTACTTGAATACTGACAAACTTTATGGATAGCAACTCGTTTTCTTCCGTGAGTTGCTATCCATAAAGTTTGTTAATATTTTACTTCACAATTTCTGAAACGCCACTCAAAGAAGTTAAGCGTGTAAGTTCTTCTGCCGTTACATTGGAAGGTAGGATTACACGTTACACAAAACCAGCTGTTTTCCCATAGACTTACACAGTAACGTTGACCCGTGAAGGGCCGGGTTAGAATATTGATCTTCAGTAACCCATACTTGTCGTTAGAGGCGACTAACGGGATCGGGTGGTCGGGCTCGCTGACTTGGTTGACACATGTCATCGGTTCCCAATTGCGCAGATCGATGCTCATGCTGTTGATCACTGGATTGTCTGATCCAGACTCGATTACAGACCTCCACCATATAGCTGGAATATTGCTGAGTGCGGCGTAAAACTAAACTCACTCACTCACAGTAACGCTATGGCCTTAAAGCCATAATAAAACAGACCTTTTGAGCAGGTTAACCGATTCCTTTCCAGAGTACAAGCAGCTAAACACACAAACCAAGATGATTCAGTCTTGACCAAAACGTGCTTGTTAAGCTACGGAATCTAACTTGGTGTAGTATAACACGTACATCTATCCCTTGTATTGGCTGTGTCCGCCAGTAACACAGTTCCTTACATTAACGAAACAACCTTCTTCATCACGGACTTCCGGTGTCCCGGGATGCTACATCTATCCCTTGTATTGGCTGTGTCCGCCAGTAGCACAGTTCCTTACATTAACGAAACAACCTTCTTCATCACGGACTTCCGGTGTCCCGGGATGCTACATCTATCCCTTGTATTGGCTGTGTCCGCCAGTAACACAGTTCCTTACATTAACGAAACAACCTTCTTCATCACGGACTTCCGGTGTCCCGGGATGCTACATCTATCCCTTGTATTGGCTGTGTCCGCCAGTAACACAGTTCACTACATTAACGAAACAACCTTCTTCATCACGGACTTCCGGTGTCCCGGGATGCTACATCTATCCCTTGTATTGGCTGTGTCCGCCAGTAACACAGTTCCTTACATTAATGAAACAACCTTCTTCATCACGGACTTCCGGTGTCCCGGGATGCTACTGCTGGAGTATTGCTAAAGACGACGTAACAACCTACTCAATCAGTTACAGTGGACAACGGTTGATCCAAGGTGTTGGACATTTTTGTGTGTTTTTATTTCGATTTTACACACTTTTTGTTCAATTTTAAGGACGGAAGGTGACTTTTAGAATGCCTTTACCCTGTGACAAGTTTTGGTTTCGTTACTATTCTCCATTAATGACTCGGAGATTGCAGATTACATGTATTTCGACTGAGTATGCAAGAACTGCTTTATGTTGAAGAAGACCGGTGGAATCAGATTTGAGTTGCCGACATTTTGTTTTTCAGCAACTTCTCCTGCTTCCTCGACAGCAAACCACGGTCATGTACGTCGGTGTAAACCACCCTTCCCTTTTCCTTTTGTGTGTGTGTGTGTGTGTGTGTGTGTGTGTGTGTGAACAGCGGGGGAAGTTCTCATCGTTCTTAGCCATCTCCTTGCCCTGACGACACGCGGCAAGAGGTTTCTCCTGAGGTCTCTCGTTTCCTAGACTAACAACTAGTCTCTGAAATGAACATATTTTACTGAAAAAAAAGTTCATATTAAAAAATATATATATAATGAAAAGGAGCCCTGAGACTTTCTTCATTTTCAGAAGCTGTGGAAATCTAGACTTGCCACATTTTCTAGACTTGCGCGGGCTTTCTTGGATATATTTGCTTCACGGTCTGTACGAGAGACTACTCGTTTCCTAGCAACACCCTATGGAAACTTCTTGGAAATGGTAGACATAAGTACTCTACATTTCAACATCCGTTACAAAGTAGATGAATAGGTTCTGAACATACTGAATAACTGTGAAAACCATATTTGGAAACTAAACATTGTGATGATATATGGTGTGTGAGGTATATGGAATGGGGACCTTTTCACATCAGCCACTCTCGGAGTCAGAATAATGTGTCTGAGTGGGGTATTCATGCTTCACTGCGGCATGGTATCTCCGTGGGCTAGCACTATAAAACCAGCTTAAGTCTGGGCTAGTACAGGCAACCACACCTACACACGCATGCTCGTCGTCTTATGAACGAAATATTCTTAAAGGTCACATGCAACGTAAAACACAACTTTGCAGATTCTGATACCTTTCGGTATGGACTAACCGAAACAAATCACACAAAATGCAAATTCAACTTATAAAGTTGAAAAATGCGAAATCGGACTTCAAACGATTAACTAATTCCCCAGCACTTGGGGAAAAGTGGTTTCAACAGCTGGGCTGCACTCATAGCACATGCGTAGTGAAATAGGTTCGCGCAGCTTGGAAGCGGGTTGTCCAGTGAATACTCGGTGAAGGCTTTGGTGTGAGCTATTTTAATGTTTTGTTGATATTTCACAGGCGCGAGCTTTTTATATGTTATGACAGTAAATTACCGATTTAACTGTTTATATAATTTCATTTGTCTATTTCACCACACGTTCTTCTTACCAAGTCACTTTCTCAGTTCGATACTTAAAAGCAATGTCATTATTTAGCCTTGACAGAATTTCTAACTGTGATATAGATATGTCTTTGTCACAGATAAAACTCAATGTCTGTTTTATTGACACCTATGTGTCTGCCTGCCTGTCTGCTAATGACAATAATCAATACACAACTTCGATCATTAACACCTATACTTGTTTTGAAATTTGAGTTCTATATCGATAGTGTTAGTGTAAAACAGTTTCAAATCTTCTTAAGTAGATTTCGCTGTTCAAACCACAATTTGATGATAGAGTACGGTAGACATTTAGGTCTTAAAAGGGAGGATTGCCTGTGCCCGCTTTGTATCATACCTAATATAGAAAATGAATATCACTTTTGCCTGGAATGCCCTTTTTATGGGAAATTAAGAAATGATATCCTCCCTAAATATTATCACATATATCCATCTGAAGTGAAATTAGCTCAGTTGTTTACATCAAAGAATACTTATATTATAAATTGTCTAGCAAACTATCTATTTTTTTACATGAAAAAACGAAATAAATGTCTTTCAGTCCTGGTACCCACAAATGTATAATTGTGCAGCTCTCATGATGTTGTACGGTGCTCTAATGATTGTATATTCTGTACACCTGATGTATAATGGGCCTGTCTCTCTCTCTCTCACTTAACACCTATCAGGCTATACACCATAAACAAAACGCATTGATTTATGGCCCGAGTTCGGTCTCTGTCACATTATGTAATTACACAGACAGGCAGGTGTGATACTTGTACATATGACATGTTATGATGTCTGTTGACTGCAAAATGTTATACACAAAAAGTGAGCATGTATTTACAAAACCCAACATCTCTACATATACACACACAATGAGCCGTGGGGGCATCTGCAAATGAACCAGCCGTTACACTTGAGTGCACACCCTCCCGCTCTGACTGGGTTCGGTATCCCGGCTGCTTCGTTTCTTGGGAAGTAAACCCAAGTACAAAATATTGCACTTTTGATTTGCGATTGTACGCTTATAATTTTGTTTATATGTCTTTTCATAATCAGCAATGTATATTATATGCCATGAATAAGTGATAATTGTGTTTTAATTAATGTTTGATGTTTTGGTTGCATGTGACCTTTAAGTACGACGTTAAACCCAATTTCACCTCACCTCTCTCACACTAACAATGCAGATTTACGCTCCATAAACGTCAGTTATATATAGCCAATTCTTTTCAATAGATAACTCAAAGGTAATAACTTCACAGACTATTCATTTGAGCATTCACACGAAATTAGTGACCTCGTCTAGTGCAACTCATTTACTTACGCTCTGATTCAACCAATCAGGGAACAGCAGACCGCTAGTGGGCGTGGCTTAAAGTGATTTCAGTTCAGGGAATCGTGACTCTCCAAATCTGATGTTATACCGTCAAAAAGTATGAAGTAGAAATATTTCCGTTTATAAAGCAACCGTAACTAAAATATGTCAACGGAATCACACTGGATAAACAAATTAGCATAACAATGGCACCACAATGGAAAACGGTTAATAATATAGGAAATGAGATGTGCTGATGTTGGGTATCACTGCTACAATTGTATCAAGCCATTTACTGTGTAGTGCGAGGGATAGTGAAACACGGCAGATACTAATGAACATGGATATAGATAGCGAGTTTAACAGCTGGTTTGTGGAAATCAATATTTTGTTTGCGGGACCTGTTCGTGAAATCATATTGAGGTTCGACAGATTGTATGTGTGGCGTTTTCGGTTGGATCGTTAGTTGTAGCGGTAAACGGCGTGATTGCTGGAGAAGTGAGTGGCCATTTTCAACAACTCACCACAGTACGGAAATATTCAATACTGAGGTACATGATCTGTAATTAATATTCTTTACATAATTTAGCATATATATTCTGCATATATAATAAGTACCTCGGCCTGTCTATCTGTCTGGTATCAAAAGGGTTGAAGTTTAGCAGAGTACAGTCAAGAAATCCACAAAATAATCACACAACACGAATTTGCCCCCTATACTTATCTTCAGGACCTCTTCAAGATAAGGAGGGAGGGAAATTCGCGTTCTGTCAATATATATATTTGTGTTCGCGGGTTTTGCAAAGATCTAAGATCCGGATAACTCCAGGCTTCCCTCCCACATGGAGCATACCCTCTTATATATAACAGGAATGTTGTTCAGAGCGACGTAAAGAACTACACACAGAGAATTTATCCTTTCGTATGATTTAGATGTAAGAAAGTGAACATATTGACGATCAGAAACTCAAATATTTTATAATGTGTTATAAGCTATATATGACTTTTCAAATAACATTACTAACCTAGAAACATTCTAAATAACGAGGTCATAACTTAAAGAAGCCAAGACATTAGCATTATTTAACAGTTTTTTTTCAACTTTGAAACTTCCAGTCATATTTTCTACTGAAAGAATTCACAATCCACTGCGTATCCAATCGAATAAACCACTGAAGGCATGTCAGTGAAACTGAAGGATGCGCTAGATATTCCAATACAGAACCACCACAGAAGTCAGTAGATCTAACATAGAACAGCGATATTGTGTTCTACAGGACAATGTGAACAACTCACAGGAATGTGTGTGGACAGTTCTGTCTGTAGACGCTTGCATGACGGCCAGGCATCGTCAGAGTAGCTTCATGTTTAGTTAACTTGGAAGGACTTCTGCTGTCTAGATACGGTAAGTGACCACTTTATAATGTATCAGTCCTAGTTGTGGTAACGAGGATATGTTTTTTGTGTGATTTGACAGCTTCCCGCAAACTATCACTCAAATGATAGGCATTGTACCTGAGACTATCCATGTATTGACACACAGACCATCCCCCGATTATTCAAAGGATTTTTATCTCTTTGATGCAAATTGCGGGTGTATGTGTTAATGTAACCATTTTAAACTATGAAATATTTCTTCATTAGTTATTAAGTTATTAATCTAGTTATTATAATTTCACGTCCAGTGCTGTTTAAGAAACAACCAAGGACGCGTTAACAATGGTTATAGTTCCGTATCCAGGCAACATAATTTACACGTCTTAGTCTGAATTTAAATTTCCTTTAATGCCTTCCTTTACTTTTTACTATAACTTGCATTTTTAAATATTGGCAATAAGGAAGCACCATGCTTAGACACTTCTAGTCCCGCGGTTAAAGCGTTCGTGCGTTCACGTAAAAAACTTCCAGGATATGTGTCCTATTTACGACTCCGTGTATACATTTGATATCCCAGAAAATGATGAAATAGTCCTAGGAGAGACATTGAAACCAGATAATTCCCGCAAATCAGTCTTATACAAATATAATATAGCACACGTCCAATGACACACACGAGTGAATGAAAATGAGTACGCAGAAAAGACGCCCATACCCTCATCAGTGCCGTCATCAGTTTCCCACCAGCACCACCATCAACACCGGCATCTACACCAGCATCAACGCTTCTATCAACACCATCACCAGCACCACCATCAACACCGGCATCAACACCGGCATCAACACCGGCATCTACACCAGCATCAACGCTTCTATCAACACCATCATCAGCACCACCATCAGTGCCCCATGAGAACCTGCATGAGAGATGAAATTAATAGATGCTATTTACGTTTAATATCTGCACAGTTAGTGTCACATTGTCGGTGTGTATTTCATTAAACTACACAGACCGACTGCATGGGTGCGTATTGAGTATTGTATAAACATTGTAACTCGTTCTCCTGCACAGTCATTCAGTTTGATTAAACTCTCGTGGAAGCTTACAACACCTGCTTTGCAATTTGAAATTCAGTGTTCATAATACATTACATTTCTTTGTTTCAACATATGTCTCTTCTCATATATCATTGGACGATGGCCGAGACCCAGGAAGGAAAGCCCCTGGGCCCGTTCCTCAAAGCGATCGTAGCGCTACGACTGTCGTAAGCCTATTAGGAGAGCAGCGACTTTAAGAAAAGTGGCCAAATTAAGGAGTTTAATGCCCCCATCCCTTGTATGGACATATTATGGCTCATTGGAAAGCTTATTGTGCCTACTTTAACATAGGCCATGATGTGGTGGCCAGATATGGTCCAGTTTTTAAAAAAGACTGCATGTCACGTGATCCCACAAGGCCAAAAAATATATAATTACGATGTTTAATTTAGATATATAAATCATTCATTTTTTGGTTAAGTTTCCATCACCAATGGTGTTAAGGCATATTCTGAATTGTTTTTATTTAATTAAATGACCAAAAGGCAATAATTCAGATAAAACCTGAAAATCATATTTTTGGGGAAATCAGTCTTTTTGGAAATTTACGCATCGGTTTCATCAGGAAACGTTCTCTTTGAGTGAAATCTCTGTGCCCATCCCAAGGCAATAGAAATTGTGTAAAGTATCAGATAACACTAGGGTAAATAATTCAAACATTGCAATAAAATCGAGACATAAGTCTTTTTGACTCTTAGAATGATAATCTTTGGAGATGCATGATGTTGCAAATCTTCCAAGGTTATTTTCATATAGCATTGTCAGTGTTTATCTAGAGTTTTCTGTTTTCTGTGAATGTCTACCTTTCCAACTGATTCAGACACTTTTGGTACACATCGACAACTAATTACTTGATACTGGCGGTATTCAGCTCCCATCCTTCTCCTGCTTCTCCCTCATTATGGCCGTACCTATTGAAACATCCACAACAACATCTGCTTTGTTGAAGCAGTACATCAGCTGAGTCTGCTAATTTGTCAAATGGAAAAGGTGTTCCCTGACATCATTTGGAGTCCTGCCATGCCATATCGAATGTAAACTGTCTGACTGGATGTATCTGAAGATATTTCATTATGCTTTGGTACTCCACTCTCTAGTATGTATCCAAGGTCACACTTTGCAGATTTCCTAATGGCGCCTTCTTCAAGGAAAAGAGAAGTTAAACCGGAACCTATAGGGTGCCTGAGAACTGTTTCCAGATTGACATCTTCACATGTAGCAAGGACATAGACGGATCTGGTGTGTGTGTGTGTGTGTGCGCGCACACTCCTTTTGTCCTGAAATATTAATAAATGACCATCGAAACTCTCGTGAAACTAAACTGTGCACACACACACACACACACACACACACACACACACACACACACACACACACACACACACACACACACACACACACACACACACACACACACACACACACACACACACACACACACACACACACACACACCGCCCTTTCTCAATAAGCTGTATCCGCCCCTGAAGGATAGGATCAGAGCGCGACGAAATATGATTTCTAGTCAAGATGTTACCTACTTTGCTCTTGAATTCAGTTGCCTTTGTCATGTCAGTACATGTTTTGACATCTCATCTGGTAATAGGACTATAAAAGCTCCGACTTGTATCTGTTTTCATTGCAGAGTTCACAAATCTTTCAAATTTCTTTCTCTCCTGTTTCTTTCATGAGCAGAAGGGACTGTTGTACTTCAGCTGGTGTATATAAATCTGTTGCGATGTTCAGAAATACTTCAGGATGAGAATCTATATTTACGGGATTAGACATGCTGTTCTGAATGTGTGTGATTAGATCACTTGATTAGATCACTTGATTAGATTAGAGGCTTGCACTCCTCATGGGTGTTGTCTTCACAGCAGCTTAACACACCACTTCTTTCTCTGAGCTTAGATGTATAATCACCTGTGATATATCTGGTGAGAGTCCATCGAATTAGTGCCGATGTCTTGCATGTTAGGCCAGCAAGCCCACCTTCACTCTTTGAATCCTGGGTGGCTTCTCTTGCTTCCCATGTCAGTCCATTTTATTGTCCTGGTTTTTCCCTCAAAGTGAACTGCGTTGTTTCAAATGCACCATTGACAGCATCATGTAGGTGCGCCGTGTCAAGAATGTCGACTGGTAGCCAACAAGCGTGGGTTGTTGGATTTGCACTGTAAAAATGTGGGAGCAATGCATTTTGGGTAAGCATGTGGAGGTCCCATTTACCTTCTCTCTCAGCCCTGATGTTCTGCAATAGGAATTTTTAGCGCCACAGCAAAGTTTAGTCAAAGTGCAAAGGTTGGAGAAGACTTAATTTCAATTTCTGACATTCAGTAAACTGTGGCATGAGGATGTCATCTTCTTAGATTCCATTTCGCCATTCACATAAATCTTGCATGAGATTCCCAGAAATACACCCATACATCTTTCGGTGTATTCTTTCTACCCCAACCAAAGAAAGCCATGAAGAGGAGAGCCATGAACACCCCAACGACTTGTGTCAGTCGAGATGACAAACCTTTATGGATGATCTTCTCCTTTATATTCTTTATATTCATCATGAAAGAAGCTGATCATCCATAAAGCTTTGTCATCTCTATACCACCAACTTCTAGAATGCCACTCAAACAAATCTTGTGTCAGTCCTCGAACTGCTCAATGCAATGTACATTGGGACGTAAACCCCAGATTCAGTTAGCATATCCTGCTAGCCACCATCTCCCTATTACTTTCCAAGAAAACCAACGTAACAGCAAACAGCATGACATCTCCAAGGTGACATTTGAACTAAATACATACATGGTCATTATTTCAATTGCTTTCATCATAAAAAACCTATTCATTGATGACATATACAGTCAGTTTGTTTCTATAAACTAACATGGAACAGGGTTCATACAGATAATCAGCCATCACATTTACAGCCTTTTAAGGAACTATAGAAATACATATAACACATAAGTAGTTGAATATACACAAGATTGGTGAAATATGGGACCGATCATCAGGGGGAAATAGCATTAGCTACATTGCTGTACTGGGGAAGTTTTGCTTCGGATGGAAATTACAACGCCCACTGTCGTTTTATTATGTATTAGTCAATGCACTTCACAATAACATATTTGAAATAATGATAAAAGTACTATGCATAATCTTTGTATGTATTATGAAGAAGAATTAAATTGACTAATTAAAGTGTTTACTAAAAAATCCATTTTTTAATGAAGAAACAAACATTATTTCTGAGAAATTTCAATGACTGGGGTAGATTGTTAGCTCCAGGTAAACACATTAAAGAGTATCTGATGTATTCTTTATTGTATTTCATCATTACAGATTGTATAATGAACAACTGACTTTCCATATTTCTGATTTAAGTAAAAAGAAAACAAAACAGGGTGCTGTCACGTGACCTCGATTTCTGAAAAATGGGACCACTTTTGGCCACCACCTCATGGCACATCATAATCTACATACAATAAGCTTTCCAAAAAGCTATAATATGTCCATACAAGAGATGGGGGCATTTAGTCGACTCTACACCCTAGCCTACTGTTCTCCTATATGTTGAAGTATGGGAGTTACGTGGTCTTAGGGTTACGATCGTCTTAGGGTTACGATCGTCTTAGGGTTACGATCGCTTTGAGGAACGGGGCCCTGCTTGATAACGTTCATATCATTCGTTTCCTAGCAACCTGTGAAGACCCTGGTTAGAATTGGTCTTCAACAACCCATGCTTGTCGTAAGAGGCGACTAACGGGATCGGGTCAGGCCCGCTGACTGGGTTGACACATGTCATCGTATCCCAATTGCGTAGATCGATGTTCATGCTGTTGATCACTTGATTGTCTGGTCTAGATCCGATTATTTACAGACCGCCGCCATATAACTGGAATATTGCTGAGTGCGGCGTAAACTAAAATCACTCAC